ACTTGATGACCTTCTGGGGTCTCTTCCTGCTGTATGGTTCTATGATTCATGCTCGAAATTACAGATGAGCAAAACAAAATGATTGCTTTGCCCCTTCCCCCGACATAAGCCCCACCTATCAATCTCCTTTGTCGTCCTTGACAAAATGGAATCTTTCTTTGAATACCTTTTCTCAAAAAGCCTCCTTTGTCTTCACCTCTTCACCTCTTGGTTACTTTCTTGGCTTTGAATTCAGTCCTAGAGCAAAAGGGTAAATTCATTGCAACTGTGCCTTTTAAGTTAGGATTACATTATATCTATTCAGGATTTTTTTTGATAGATATACTGTTGGGCTTTGGGCTTTTATTCAGATCACTGGATGGGTTCTCATGGATTATTCTTTAACCCACTTAAATAGGGGTGTGACTGTGCATCAGGCATCAGCCTGTCCGTGTGTTCTGAGTCTCGGGTGCATGTGTGAGAGGGATTTTGGCATTTCTCCATTGAGATTGTTGATGGTTGTTTATATTTCCTTGTGAGCAGATGAGGGCCGACTCATTCAGGTCATTTTTTAGGCCTACTCATTCAGGCCTTGATGGATAAATTTGTTATGAGACTCGGAGCCTATCATAGTCCATTTCAAATATTCCTAGCTACAAGTGAGATAATACTTACTTGAAATATTTATATTGTCTGAATCCCAGTCATGGACCAAGATCATGTTGTGCTGGGTGCTGTACAAATAGATAACAAAACATCAGTCCCTGTCCCAATAATTCCATACCTCCAGGATATTGATTGTCTGAGGCCAATGGGTGCAGTGATGTAAGATGCTGGGAGGGGTTGCGACTAATCTGAAGGATAGGGTCATAATTCAAAATGACCTGGACAAATTGGAGAAATGGTCTGAGGTAAATAGGATGAAGTTTAATAAAGACAAATGCAAAGTGCTCCACTTAGGAAGGAACAATCAGTTTCATGCATACAGAATGGGAAGCAGATATCTGGGAAGGAGTATGGCAGAAAGGGATCTAGGGGTTATAGTGGACCACAAGTTAAATATGAGTCAGCTGTGTGATGCTGTTGGAAAAAAAAGCAAACATGATTCTGGGATGCATTAACAGGTGTGTTGTGAGCAAAACATGAGAAGTCATTCTTCCTCTCTACTCTGTGCTGGTTAGGCCTCAGTTGGAGTATTGTGTTCAGTTCTGGGCACTGCATTTCAAGAGAGATGTGGAGAAATTGGAGAGGGTCCAGAGAAGAGCAATGAGAATGATTAAAAGTCTAGAGAACATGACCTATGAGGTAAGGCTGAAGGAATTAGGTTTGTTTAGTTTAGAAAAGAGAAGATTGAGGGGGGACATGATAGCTGTTTTCAGGTATCTAACAGGGTCTGATAAGGAGGAGGGAGAAAACTTGTTCATCTTGGCCTTTGGGGATAGAACAAGAAGCAATGGGCTTAAACTGCAGCAAGGGAGGTTTAGGTTGGACATTAGGAAAAAGTTCCTAACTCTCAGGGTAGTCAAACACTTGAATAAATTGCCCAGGGAGGTTGTGGAATCCCCATCTCTGGAGATATTTAAGAGAAGGTTAGATAAATGTCTGTCAGGGATGGTCTAAACAGTATTTGGTCCTGCCATGAGGGCAGGGGACTGGACTCGATGATCTCTCAAGGTCCCTTCCAGTCCTAGTATTCTATGATTTTAAGACAACAGACACTTGTCTTTGGGGTCACAAGCTGGGGAAAGCCTAGATAATTGCAGTGTTTGGAGAGGCTCTATAGACACTTGTGTGAATGGGAGTGGCAGTAGACAGCTGAAACACAGCACTTCACATAGTCCATCTGCTGATTTTCCTGTTTGTTTATATGCTTAAGCTGACTACCAACAATGCAGAGACAGAGTAATGGAGGCAATTAAAGAAAGGCATGTAATGGATATAGAGGAACTGAAGGTGAGTATTTTCAAGAACTACAGACCCTTTACCTCCTCAGATTACTTTCTTGTATGTGCATCTTTCCACTGAAGAAAAGCCTCTGTAAAGCAGATGATTATGAAGACGTGTGTTTAGAATTAATGTCTTGTTTTTCTTTTGGAAATTGTATATTACTGTGTCCATAGATAAAATTGAGAAAAAGGGTCCAGATCTAGAAGAGAAAAGGATGGCCAGATTCTGGATTTCATGTGCTGGTGCCATGGTCAGGAAGGAACAATAAAGTCATCACTCATGAGAGAAAAGGAAAAATCCTCTAGGATTTGTACTTGCCAATTTATAATTACTTTTATCTCTTTGCGATTAGTTTTCTTCAACATGATTAGTAATTTTATTGGTACTGCCTGGCAATAACATTTAGTAATGCTAAAAATAGCCATGTAAAAATAACTACAGGAGAAATCTATTTAGTGGCTTCATGGCATTGTTGTGAACAAGACACTGGGAAGTGTTTAACACCTGTCTCTGCAGTCTCCAACTAGACTTTTAAATACAGTTCTCCAGAAAAGTATTATGAGAGGATCATGAGTCAAGGGATGGTGACCCAGAACCTAGTGTTTCTGGGTGAAAGAGGCAGAAAAAGGGTTGAGTGCTAGTTCATTGTAGGACTGTCAAGGTGTAGTTGATTAAATGATTAACCGATAAGACTGGGCTTATCGGTTAATCCTGTTGACTACACACACTCCTGCCTCCTTTGCTGCCTCTAATTCAGAGGCAGGAATTGTGGGATATTGGCAGAAACCAGTTCTCTGGACAGAACAAATAGCAGAGTCCACACTGGCTCTTTGTTGACAATAAAGGGAGGGAAAAAGACAAAAGTACCCCACAGGGTAGAAGTTTTTTGTTGCTAAAATTGGGTGTTTTCCCCAACAAAACTCACATTGCCGTATAAATGCAGTTTTTGGTGGCAAAATGTGCCAGTGTAGGCAAGGCCTTATCAGATTGTCATTACTACAGAGATGGAGAAAATCTATCCATCCCTGTAATGTGCAGCTAAGCTACAGGGCTACAGTGGCATAGCTGTGGTCCTCTAGCATACACATAGCCTATTCATGGCTTAAGGTTCCATCAGATGCACACAGTCAACAAACTGTAACACTTTTTTTTCTGTAATCTGTATCAATTACAGCCACCCTGTTCACTGTAGGTGTTAGCTATAATAGAAAGAAGAGAAAAAAAAAATCCAAGCACAAACGTCTGGGTCCTTTTGAATTGATAGTACTCTTTTGAATTAAAATGCTGAATTGTTGTTAGAGTGAAGCTTAGGATACATACCTGCCATATTTTTCTGAAATCAGTTTTGGTGTTAAGTGTGCATTCTAATACTCTTATCTACTGCTGCATGTGTACCGGTCCACTTATGCTATTATAGTATATGGCTACTCTTCACAGATTATTTAAAGTTGATATGTATTTGTTCAATTATGAGACATTATTGACTCTTATTATTTGCTTTATAGATAGGGTTAGCCAAGGTCATTGAGAGGTTAGGCCAAAAGGAGAAATTATATTTCCCAGCCTAAACATTTGTTTCACACACTGTTATAGGGCTAGCACACACTGTTATAGAGTTTTACTACCAGCCTGACGATTCAAATAGTCTCTGTGGGTGTATCTACAGGGTTTTGTCAACAAAAGCGGACTTTTGTCAACAAAACTATACCTGCGTCTACACTACTGCCGAGTTCCGTCGACATAATGTCGACAGAATTCGGCAGTTTTATCGATGGTGGTAAACCTCGTTCTACAAGGAATAGTGCCTTTTGTCGACAGAGTTCTGTTGACAGAAGATGTTATTGCATTTACACTGTTCTTTGCGTCTACACTGTCATGTCGACAAAGCAAGCTGGATGTAGTCTAGACACTCTTTGTCGAGAGAGGCTTTGTTGACAATATCTGTCAACAAAGCCTCTGTCAACAAAACCCTGTAGTCTAGACGTACCCTATGTGTATAGGAGAATGTGAAATGCCAAACTTCTCAACAGTATGACATAGCAAGGTCAACTTCAGACAGAGTTTGGGTATTGGGGTATGAAAATGGATGTGCAATAATAAATGCAAACTAACCAGTCTGCATATGCAGTATGAAATAGTTCTTTGCCACTGTTTATGCTTAATATCTGAGACAGATGGGAGCAACCATTCAATATCTGGTGTTAAAAAGAGAGAGTTAATATAATTTTTTTCCTGGAATATGGTCAGTTAAAACTGAATAAGAAATACTTAAATATCAGTAGCAAAAATTAACGAGTTCAGTTGTAATTGTAAAAATACCTTGTTGTAATTTCTTGGCCCATTAAGCATATTTTCAGATATTTAAATGAAAGTATTTTACAAAAATGGCAGCATTCATGTAGGAAGGATGTTGTTTTAAGTAATCTCTTCCATACATCCATCATATTCACTATCTTTTGGTATGCACTCCAAATTCTTCTGACATTCTGAATGGAAAAAAACAGGTCATGGGTTAGGAATAGGAATGGTTTGGGGGTGAGTAAAGAGTGAAAACACAGAATACTATAGTAATAGAGATGTAGCCGTTTTAGTCTGGTCTAGCTGAAACAAAAGACAGGACTATGCAGCACTTTAAAGTGCTGTTAATCTTTAAAGTGCTGCATGGTATGTGAATATAGCTGTTTATTTTCTCAAGACTTCCATTATAGCACATCAGAGTTTGCATTGCCTATTGCAGGGGTGGAAAAGAGACGGCTAATGAGCTGGATATGGCCCACCTTGCTGCCAGATCTGGACAGTGGCTGCTTCACCAGCATCGTAACTACAAAGCCGCATAAGCCACATTAAACAGCAGGCTGCTAATTGCTATGCAGTCTGGGCAGGGAGGAGAAAGCTTTTATGCTGTCCCTACCCCCTAGCAAAATCCCTTAGCTTCCATTAGCCAGTTTCCTCACTCCCCCTTTTTTCCTCGTCTTCCTTCTTTCTCTCCCCCTCCCTGTGCTGAAGCAGAGCCACATGGAGCAGCCCGCCCAGCACATAGGCAAAGAGCCTCTCTCAAGCAGGTTCCTGCACAGCTGCTGGCTGGGAGTCTCCTACGTAAGTGTTCCCAGCATAGGCAATCAGCAGTGTAGGCAAAGGAAGGCACAAAACTGTCTACATGACCAACTGCCTAAGGCTAAGGCCACAGCTGGGGAAGGCTGGAATCGCAGCACAGCAGCGTGTTTCCACCCACCGCCAGGGAAGGCTGGAATCACTGGCTGGCAGCCCAGCTCTCCCCAGTCCCCGGGGAAGGCTGGAAAAACAA